ACTATCTTGTTTGGATTGTTTTTGAAGGATTGATATTAGTCATCCTTACATTTACTTCCTTTTTTGAAATGTTTTCTTCACTTGTTTTTTTTTAATGTAGTGTTTTAATAGACACAGAAAGGGTGTATCATATTGCCCCTAATTAACACTCCCTTTCTATTTATCCAACATATAATCCTCCATTGTAATCCACTTTATTACTGTAATTTTGACAGCAATAGTAAAACCAACATATAATCCACTTTTATTACTGATATATTTATTTGAAAACAAAAACAACAAACAAATACACACATATTAGCATTGAAATCAACAAATCACATGTCAAAAATAAAATTCGGAACTGCATAAATACTATAATTAGCATCCCCCCTTTTGTGGTTTGCAATGCCCCCAGGGGCATTAATTAGGGGCAAAACGGTATTTATAATCTAGTTCTAAATACAATGAAGTTTCAACTGTAATATTTATTTTTATCTATTATTGGCTGGTAATTCCTCTTTCACCCTGTACTTAAGCTTTTTAAAGGAACACCAAAATTCTGTAAGAAAGCTAACTTCAATGGGTAATGATAACATCGTTTACACTAAAATTATGCTGTTTTTTTTTATTACTATTAGTTATTAATAATACTTATAAAAGCAGTTACTCCATTTGAAACTATGTTACCTCAGTGAAATTGGTTGACACTACTGTTTTGGTTTTTGAGTTATCATGTAATAAAAAAGAAATAGAAGAAAGAAGAACAAAGAATTCAAACTTTTTGTTATAATATTTACAGACATTCCCAGAACTAATCACTCAGTCATTACATAGATACTGTTATAAAAGTAAACACTGTACGGTATTCTAAAGTTCTGATGATCTATTGAGGAGATATTTAAAATACCATTTTGTTAAACAATATGAGCCATGCACACATAGGTAGTGCTACTGCCTGCCTGATACTGTTTCTGCAGAGTTTATCAGCAATAATGAACAACAAAGTTATGTCAGAGTAAATGAAAAATTCATACCATTACCTGGTACTTAATCTTGACAAAAAAAATTTAATTTAGCAATAAAAACACCTGTTTCTATAGAAAAGCTAGAAATGAAAGGCCATATACATATAATATACACGTGTGTGTAAATACGTAAGGAAGTGTGTGTTTCTTTGTGTTTATATATGTATAAATAAAAATTCAAAATACCTAAGTATCAGCAAATAAACCAGAAGCTAATTTTTATTCCTATTAAACCAAATGTCAAAATGATATATCAAAAAGTAAGAACTTAAAGCTACATTACTGTCTATTGTTCTGATATATTTTTTTCTGACCTTGGAATTTCGTTCCATCAAACTGGCACTTTCTCCTAAGACTGGACTTTCAAAACTTTGATTCTCTGATCCTGGGTGGTTTACCATAGTAGGGCTAATGGAAAAAATATAAAAATGAGATCTGCATAATAGCTATTATGCTGAACTGTAACATACAATTATAACCTAAAAAGTTTAGGTCATTTAATTTTAACAATGAAACAGAGTTTTAGAGATCTATGATTTCGATTTTTATTAAAGTGTAGTGAAGGCAATGGAGAAGTTTAGCTTAAGTACTAAATTCAAAATGTATATAACATACAACACTCGTATCTTAAAGATGGCTGGCATGATAATGCATGTAGTACACATAATTTTGATTTTGGTCAGAGGAATTCAGATAAGAGGTTCAGCTTATATACAGCCTTGTTCCCTTTTGACTGGTTAATTTCAAAGACAGTCTGAACCTCCTAAAAATTCAGTCTTGTGATGAGATTGCTGTATTTATAAAAGTTTGTTTGTTGCTGTCATAATATAAAAGGCTGTTTTATTTAGATATTATATTACTGATATATTTATTTTTGTAATTGAATATTTTATTATTGTTTAGTTTTCATTATAATAAGATTTAAAAGCAGACAATTGTAGGAAGTTTTGTAAATAATTCATTGATGTTGAGAATACCGAACGTCACGTGCAATACATCGACATCAAGAATATAAAAGGTGGACAGAATATTAAGCGATAAAAATATAAATGAGATGAGCGGGAACAGCAGACAGATAATAGCAAAAGAGAATAAAGTTGGCGTAAAGTTAAATACTGTAGAAGTAATACGCCTAACGATTGACATAGGCCTAATGATTAATATGTTAGAGTGAAATTAGCAGTAGAAAAGGATATAAGAAAAATAATTTTATTTCATCAAAGTGTAGTTCTAAAGTAATTGAATCAGTCTGAGTGCACTTTGACAAAAGAGGATCTTCAGAAGAAAGAAGACCAAACAATTACGGTAACTCTTGTAAATGAATCACAGAGAATACTAGTGCGATAGAAATAGAGAAGATAGTTCGGCTTGTCAACTGAAATTCTAAAGTAATTGAATAGGCCTAAGTGAATATTTGACAAGAAGGAGAGAACTACATATATAGTGTTGGTGTATAGAGGAAACACTGGGGTTATTCAATTTGTTTTGCATTTTAATGGAAATTCCCATATGTTCATAGGCTCTGACTTTTAAATGGCATTTGGTTTTGCCAATATAGGAGTAAATTAAAAGATCTTGCTCTATCTACATTTTATAATTTTAATAGTAAGAGAGAACCTAACCCTCTAACCCCTGATGAAATCTTAGCCTTAAAAGAATTGTCATTAAATAAAAACATCCACGTTACACGCCCTGATAAAGGCAATGCCATTGTTATTCTGAACAAAAATGACTACCTTAATAAAATACATGACATTCTGGACATTTCTACAAAATTTAAAACCTTAAACAATGACCAATTATCTGTTAGCATCCAACGTGAAAAAAAAATCCAAAGATACGTGAGAGAACTAAAGAACAAAAATATTATATCTGAATATGATGCTTCTTCTAAAGATCTCCTCCCCATTCCTTATTGTTCTTGGCTTTTCTATCTTTACACATGTGGAGACTGTAAGGCCTCCTTATTGGCAAAACCAAACACCATTTAAAAGTCAGAGCATTAAAATGCAAAAAAAACTGAATAACCCCCGGCAACACAGTGAAAAAACAGGACATCTACCTATACTACATATATAGTATTCATGATATGCCCATAATATCTATAGTGTTGAAGAATTTATTGTAAATATGTTAACTTGTTCCGAATATATATATCATTTTAAAAACAAATGAAGTGCGTGTTGTTTATTCATCCTTGAATTTATCACTAACAAGGCACAGACACCTACTGTAGAAAAATCCTAAGCCTAACAACAAAATATTATATATTTTTACTATTAAGAAATATAACTAAAAGCCTTTATATTTTGACAATTGGCAACAATCACATTTTTAAATTCTGACAGTTGCTAAACACAGTTACAAAATGGGTTATCCGTGTTGTGCCCATCATGAGTATCTAAAACCCAACTTTTAGAGGTATGAGTTCTCAGACTTATTGCCGAGCTACTGGGTGCTTCATAGGAAAGTTTTGTCTTTAGGCTTTTTCTCATTTTTCTCTTGAGATGGTTGAGAATGGGAACAATACCAAGTAGAAGATGAAGAAGAGTCATGTCACTAATCAAGAAAAATCTAGCTTATACACATATATGTTCTCAAAGACAGTAGCTTGAGTTACATCAAAAACAGTTTGTTTAAAAATTAATGAAAATGTTAAAAACACTTGTTAAATTGAAGTAAAAGAGAAAATATTAAAATACAATTATGATTAAAGTTAAAAACAACATTATTTTGTCAGTTCAGTATATATTCATTCATCACACACATCGTTACATCTATATTTTCACTGCAAAACACTTCTGAGAAAATATTCAGATTTAATGTTATTTTCAAACACCATGGTGAAAGTCTCATTTAAGTTGTAAATCAAAATACATTATCAATAAGTTGTTGTGTACATGCAAAAGTAGTTTTAATCAATCAATACAACATCACTTTAAATTAGTTTCTGGCATCCCAATACTACGTTTAAATATTAATCTATGTTGCCTCTATAGGCAATTGCAAAATGAAAACCTTGGATGTGTAAATCAGCATTAGTAATGCAAGTGTTGTACAAACCTGTGAAAACTAGCTACATAATCTTGAACATCAACATGTATGGATGGAGCAGGGCTAGGCTGAGGATCATAAACTGTACACACTTCTATTCCAGTCATAGTGAAAGACTCGTCTACTTCACCTTCACAACATTTATGGTGACATCCACTAAATGGTCGACAACCATTCTCATAAATTTGTTTCTTCTGTTGAGAAATGGATGGTGAGTGTTTGTTAGTATGATTTTTACACCTACATGGTTCTACCTGGTTCTTTTGTTTTTCAGTGTCATTTAAACACAGCACTTTGTTGGTAAACTGTGTATTAAGATTATTTATTCCCACTACAGGAGTATTGGTTTTATCCGGGGTGCTTAACCTCTGTGTTACAGGAATGTTGCAGCTGTCACCAAGCCCTGTATCAATAGAGTCACAGCTTGGAGATTCTTCTTCTGTCTGCAAACTAACATCTATCAGTTTTCGTGTGTCTGGCCACACCAAACTGGTCATTGTACTTGTTGAACACAGTTGAGGCATAAGGGATGGATTCTGAGTAGCAGAAAGGCTATGTTTATTAGTAACTTGTTTCTGGCTAGTAACATTTGGAGTTTCAGATATGGTAGCTTTTGCTTCTTGGGCCTGTAGAAGCTTTTGTATTTGAGCTTGTAGTTGACGTAACTGTTCATCTTGTTTTTGAAGGAGTTGGTACACTTGTGGAGGGACATCCTTGTGAAAATGGGAATCATTATTATCATATGTAATTACTTCCCCTGATGAATCAGATACTTCTGAGCAGCAAACGTTGTCAACATGACTGGATGTAGACTTTGTGCTAGTGTGCTGATTAAATGAAGTCTTTTGCTTGCTCTTTTGATTATCATTCAGTTTCTGTTTTCGTTGGAAACCATTTTTTCCAAATTGTGTAGTATTTGGAGGATAAGAGCTTTGAGACAAATGCTGATTAACATTTTGGAGTGGGCCTTGAAAAGGGAAGTTATTCAGATGAAATTTCACTGAATTCTTTCCACTTAGTTGAGAATTCTGAGAAAGTACAGAATTTTCAGTTAAAACTTGGGTAGGCGACTGATTCCTCCTGGAAGAACTTAATGGAGAAGTTTTGAGGTACTCATTATCTGAATTGACTGGAACTGCTGATGAACTTGTGACTTGAAGTGATGATTTTGGAGATAATGTGGACTTTCGAAAATTTTCACAGTAGCCCATATTTCCTGGTGAATGATAGACTTGTGATTTTATTGCTGTGTTCTTGTGCAAATCATGACCTTTAGGTTGTTTTGAAGTTGCATTGTCTAGAGACGTTTGTTTAGGGTCAAGAGTCATTGACGTGGTAGTACAAAGAGAGTAGGATGAAGGAGAGATCTGATGTGTATTAGTAACAGGAGATCTTTCAATGGGTAACTGTTTTGATCTCTCTTGCATGCATCTGTGCACAGTTTCAAAAGACCCTTGAGGTATTGCCTGATGAGGATATTGCGAGTTGCTCATGACTTCCATGGTATAGTGTGGTGCCTTATGAATGCCTATTGTATTTATGTCCTGGCTGAATTTTGCTGAAGAACAATGACTATTTCTTTGATGATTTACATTTGAAGATGTCATCACAAAAGGAAAAATATGAATATCATCAATACATGTACTTTCTTCATTGTTTCCATCAGAAACCAAAGACACATCAGGAACTGCTGGAAAAGCTCTCAAAGGCTGTAACAAAAAATCAAGTATCATGTACTAGATTATTTATACACTCTTTCCTAATATTGTATTATGTAAAAACAAATGGTAGTTTTACAAAGTTACTAAAAAACAAGAGCTTAACTATAGTCTTTCAAATAAAAGAATGCAGAGAACATCAGTGTCAAAATTCAAACTTTAAAGTAAATTGTGCACGTCATCAAAATTCAAGGAACTTGAAACACCTAACAAATATTGTGTACACACACAACTAAACAATAATGTTGTGTAAGTTCACAGTTTTATAATTTAAAAAAAACTTTCAATGCATATTCTTCATTATAATCTATTCTATAAAAAAAAATAACAGTAAGCTTTTAAGATTTTAACTACAAAGCAATTTGATACAAGGTACACACAAAATATACCCAAGTTTTCAAAATAAACTTACAGGATTTGTAATAATATTTCTGAAAATAAAAAATAACATACATTTAGGAAATGGGGATTTGGAGTGTTTCGAGGCATCTCATCATTGGATGGAGTAAGAAGTGTTGGCTTCTTAGATGTTGGAATAAAAGTGTCTGTTACTCTTTGAAAAAAGAAAATCAAAGAATCAAATAAATCTCTTTGATGAAGAAAAATTTGATAAATTATAATAGGGTTGCGGGTTACCCTTGAAGTTTCTGATTCAATTAAAATATATTCATTTTTATGATTAATTTTTGAAAATGATATAATATCAGGTGTTACTTAAGGATTCCATCAGACATTAATTTCACCCTTTATAGTATAAACAATTATTAAACAAAATGAATAATTAAGAAATTAAAAAAAAAGAAATAGTACATGAAAAATTTCAAAACCACAAAAGAAATTTCAGAGTAGAATATATAATATTAAATAAAAAAATTACATCTATTTATTTCATGAATACCTTGAATTACAAAAAATTAGCAAACTCCATTAAGTATACAACTTATTAACTCTTTCCATACAGAGTCAGTTGATGTGACTGACTATGAAACACCAGAGTTTTCATACTACAACTTTTTATATGTTTTGTGTATCTTCACAAAGTTTGGGAAGCTTTCAGTAAGTATCAAAGCTTGCAACAATCTATATCTGCTTATACTTACATTTTATTGTTTTGTTACCCTTTGCAATTCATTGACAATGTATATTGTTCTAAGTTTTCTTTCTCTGAAATAGAACATTTGATAACTTACATTTGTCCCATAAACTTTTGATAAGCTTCTTGAAAATTGCAACTTTCTGAATCTGATGGTACTTTTTCCAAATCAATTTCCAGCATTTTATTGTTAAAAACAGGAACCTGATAAAAAACAAGCAATTTTATTTACAATTTTCATGAACATCTTTATAATCTATATGTGCAATAAGTTACAAAAACTGTTAATAAAAACAAAAATTAAGATCTACACATAGAAAAGAAAAATACTATACGATTCTCTAAAATGAAGCATCAAAAATAGTGTGTACATCACCTTGGCAACAGAAGTTTCCAAAGAACCCTTGAACATACATGGTGTGAATTTGTTTGACCCAGTTGTAGTGATACAGTCATAAAATAGTGGTGATGAATGGTTTACTGAAGAGTACAGCATGATTAGAAACGGCTGTGGAGGCAGACACACCCTAAAATCATGTTTTTAAAATTGTTTTTTTATTTTTGAAACATTACAAAAATATTATTTTGTAACAATTAAAAATAAAATGAAACAACATTTGTATGAAAACTATCAATGCTAGTAGTTAATGCTACTTATTTCTATTTTTAAAATAATTTAAAGAATAGGTTTTCAGGCATATTGTTAGGCATTACATTATTAACTATCAAATAAATAAATATTTTATAATTAATGCCTTCTGTAATTCTAATTTTATTTCTGGAATTTATTAATAGTATGCACACACAAAGCTGACAAAGACTTCCATGGAGAACTTTGAAATCCTTTCTTTGAATACTATTGTTATGACAGTGGAAAGCACGTGATGCTCGTAGCGTGTGTGAAGTTTCTCGAATTATCAGGGAAGCCCAAGTTTGTTCGAGATGTCCTCTTCTTTAGTATATAAGCCTGGTAGCAAAAGCCAATGGGGTCATATATGCTCGTAGCGTGTGTGAAGTTTCTCGAATTATCAGGGAAGCCCAAGTTTGTTCGAGATGTCCTCTTCTTTAGTATATAAGCCTGGTAGCAAAAGCCAATGGGGTCATATAAAGCATGTGTTTTTGTACTCGTCGAGAGCGAAATTATCGAGATTGTGAATCACTGTGATTTATAGCATGTATTACAACAGTTGTTAAGTTTAAAGTGACGAGAAACGTACTGACTGCGCAATTACTGAGTACTAAAAGTTTTTATCGAGAAATAATTAACTGGTTTAATCAAGAAAGGAATTGTATTGCTGAAGTTTCTCAGAAAGAATTTCTATAGGATATTAACAAACAAGCAGATACGCAACAAACTGGTGTCAGAGAGTGGGACAGAAAAAAAGAGAGAGAGAGAAAAAAAGAAGATGGAAACGAGAAGTGGCAAATCAAACTACAGCTTAGCAGATTTGATGACAGCAATACAAGAACATCAAAAGAAACAATAAGAGAGATTACAGCAGTTGTTGGAGGAGAAAGAAAATAAACAAGAAGAGAAACAACAGCAGTGGCAGCTCGAACAGCAAAATAAACAAGAGAGATTACAGCAGTTGTTGGAGGAAAAAGAAAAGAAACAAGAAGAGAGATTACAGTAGTTGTTGGAGGAGAAAGAAAAGAAACAAGAAAAAGTCCAGTGCAGAGATACCAAGGTTGGTACAATCATCAGGATTCAAGGCCAGAAAAGGGCAGCTTTCAGAGAAGTTTGAGGGACTTTGCTGGCACAGTAACAAACCCAGGCACAAGAGAACTCAATGCCGGCAACTTCAACACAGGAAAGATGCCACAGCAGGAAAAACTGCTACCCAGAAGAT